ATTTTTGTATAAGATGTTGTTTCGATGAGTCTTTGCTGATTTTAATCATACATTGTAACTCGTAACAATACAGAAACTGGTCCGCAATTAGTGGTGTACAGTTAGTTCCCATTGGAATTCCGATAATCTTGACGATATACGGAATCTGCATAGCAAACAAAAATGTTATCGAGTAAATATTCAAGTGCAGTTATCATAGCACGTCCTATTGACATAGTTCTTTTGTTTGTTGTTACTAAAAATGACATTAAGAGATTGAACATACATATTTGCATCTTGACTTTTAAAATGCCCATATAATTAGGTATGTGATTTGTTTCTTTATGAGATCATGAGGCAAAATGGTATATAGGGTAGAAAATCAAAACTTTGAACAGATTCAAAATCACCAATATAAGCATGCAATTTATCAAGTACTTCCAACGAGTTTTTGACACTCTAATAGCAAACGCCAACATACAAAGAAACGGACTGTAGATAACAACTGCCATATTCCTGACTTGGTAAAAATGAAATAAAAAATCTTTGCAAGATGCTTTTTTCTTTTTGTCTTGAAGAGGTTCTGCACGAATTTATTTTACATTTATACAAAAATTGGCAAAGTGGGCTGCACAATAAGTACCCAATGACTACGGGCGATCTTTTGAAACATCAATCTGCCAAACTCAGCAACCTTGTTAAAGTATAAAATACGTATGAGGTCCATATCATTCGAATAAAATGTTTACGAAGCCATATCATTAGTATGAAAAAAAAATAAAAACAAGGAATGCATTCAACGACTGATATTGTCAATATCTATAAATTATACAAATTCTTTATCATTCCACTACCAAATCCATCTGACTGATTAGTTTAGTATATTTTACAACTTTTCCACCTTAAAGACATATCAGCGGGCATTGATTATTTTCCATACTCGCCATGCATCATCTACACTTCCTAATTGTCATGTGACTTCTCTGTGAACTGATTCTCGCTTCCAATGCTTCTAAAAAAAATCCGATCGTACTTGCTATATCCCTATTGCGCCTACCAGTGAGTATTACACTCATATGTGAACCAAAATGACGATTGCAATGATATTGGATATGTTGCTATATTTTCAATTAAGGATGTTCGCTCCTCTGTTTCAAATAACAAGCTTTTTAAAAGACTGTTAAAAATTGGAAGTATATAAATAAAGAAACTAAAAAAGCAGATAAAATGATGAATCCGTGTGCTTGTTTTCCAGACAAAAGTCATTGAAAATTTGGCGGGAAATAATGTTCTCTAGATTTTACATACATTTAACATTGGCACGTTTTTTTCTTTCAAAAACGATGAAAAAATAACAAGGATTTTATAAGATTTTTAAAGATGACATTTCAAACTATACGTAATCAAATTATGGAAAAAAAAGTAGGGGTTTGTGGGCAAAATTTTTAACTAAATTGGCACTACATGGATAAAACCAGAGGATTCCGAATATCTGGCACTAAGTGGACTTAGTCTACGCAAACTCTTGTTATTAACCAGGCGAAACAGAGTTTCAGGGGAAGTGCTTGGGATTCGATCGTGCAAACTCTTTATTAAAAATATTAATAAAACTATCTTCTTGATCTAAAGTTAAATAGCTATGGTTGGACTCAAATCGTTCATTTGATTTGCTATTTTATGTAAATGGAAGTATGGTTTGGTATAGGTCATCGTGCGGCCTGACATTGAGCACACCCCATAACTATATTGTCTGTCTGAAAAAAAATGCCTTATTATAAGGCTGTCTGTTCAACTGCAGTTCATAAAGTGTGTCCTGCTCACAAAGACAGGGTAGACGTTACCACCGATGATTTTAGATATAACCGACCAAACACTTAATTCCTGGTACTTTGATTTTTAAATACGGTGTACTTGTTAACGGCTCTTTTGTGATCATTGTAAGTCCGCAGTATTACTATTTGTTTCAGTAAAATTGTTATAATTACCGAATTGTTTACTTTTAATTGTCACCGAACATTTTTGTGACTTGTTGTCTAAGATAGGATTTTATATAACTGTTATCATGCTAGAGAACTAGGGGCCTCGGTGGACGAGTGGTCTAAGAAGTCGAACTACTGTATCGCTAGCCAGTCAACACTGAGATTGTTAGTTCGAATCCCGCACGGGGCAGGTGCACTCGACTCTAATCTAAATTAAGTAGGATTGTTAGTTTTCCTACCGAAGGTCGGTGGTTCTCTCCAGGCACTCCGGCTTCCTCCACCAATAAAAACTGACCGCCACAAAATAGCACAATAGTGTTGAAAGTGGCGTTAAACACCAATCAATCAATCAATCAATCCTAGAGAACTTTGGTACATTTTTGACATTAGCATTTGCTTTACGACTCTACAAGAGGATGATTGCATTCGTAAATAGGACAATTTCCAATAGTCTTTTTCTCTTCGGTTTGCCAAATATTGTCGGAATAGCACCGACCTCAAGCCATGATCAACTTTCCGATTAGTATTTGTTTTTCTAAAACTTGTCGTATCAGAGTCAATGTATATCATTTGAGACAGCAGAATCGTTCTTGACAGAAATTTCTCGGCTGTAGAGCACGATAGCAAAGAGGGCGGACACGGTACGCTGTATGTCATTTTATATTGCAATATAAGAGTTGTAAACTTCTCTTGTTTACTGAAATATAATATTGCAACCCTTTTATTGAAAATATATCAGAGGAAGAGTTAAAATGTGCCACTAAAATTTAAAAGTTCTTGTCCTGGTTTTAAGATCCAATGAACACAAGAATGTTAAATAGTTCAACGAGTAAACTATAATCCTTGATAACCAACTGATAGAAATTCGGATTTTTTGTTTTTATTGGCGCCTCAATTCATTTAACGTGTACCTTAGCTTTCATCGATGCGCCATTGTACAAGACGAAGTTAAATACTGGGAATTTTCACATTTGATGTACATTTATTTTTGCAACACTTAGTAGATTCCTGTCCGAGCAAACGAGCAAAACCTAAAAAAAACCGCCGCATTTATGCGCCTGTCCGACGTCAAGAACCTCAACCTTTTGTAAGTGTTGTGTTTTATTTTTTTTTATTTTAGTTCATTTATACAGGCAACAGTAGTATACTGCTGTTCCCTTTTTATGACTGTTATTTGGTTAGAGAAAATTTAGAGCGTGACATGTTTCAGAGTTTAGTGAAGCTCGCCTCCGGGTGCGGGATTTTTCTCGTTTCGTTGAAGACCCATTGGTGGCCTTGGGCTGTTTTTCTGCTCTTTTGTCAGGGTTGTTGTCTCTTTAACACATATCCCCGTTTCCATTCTCAGTTCTATCTTGAACCAACTGTTACTTTGGAAAAGTATTGAAATATGAGATATCCAGAATTGAAGACAAGACATTATCAAATTTGATATTTGTATATATAGTTGTATATCACTAAACACAGCTTTGTATATTTATTCCTTTGAGTGACTCTGTTATTTGGTCAGAGTAAATTTAGAGCGTGACATTTGATATGGCGATTGTGTATCACAGATGACCGTGTATTGTAAAATTTACGTCTTCTTGGTTACGATATAGTAATGTATATATAATGTTCATGGGTATGTCCTAAGGGAACTATATGACATGTAGAGTTTTATAAAAAATAAATGAAAACCAAAAAAAAAGCAAAAACTGCACTAACAAAGTTATAAAAGGAACAAACTGAAAGTGATACTTTATTAGGTTAACCCTCCCTATCACGATTTTATTGACCGATATGATGTGTAGCGAAACGTTTTGGTGGTCTTCGGAAAAATGAAATCACTTCATAAATTTAATGCATTCGAAGCTCTTTTTTAAAAGCCAAGGATGTTTATGACCGAAACAGTTGAACAGCTACATGACTAAAATAGACCTAAAAATAATAGTCACATCCATCTAAGGTCCACTTTGTATTAGATATCTGAAACCCAAGTTCCTAAAAAATTCCTAAATATATAAACGGACAAGTTGAGAAAGCTTTGTTATAAATTTAGTAGTATCATAGTACTGACTACTAAGCTGATGAAACCATCACGGACTGATAGTTCACCAGCAGCGGTATCGAACCAATGCTGTTAAAATATTAAAACAAAATTTCAGAAAAATGTATAGCCAGTAACCCCAATAAGGCTGTTTCTTTTAAACTTCAATGTTTCGAGTAAATTTTTGTGTATGTATTGTTAAATGTAATATTTTTTAAGGTAGTATTTTTTAGACAAATTGTATATTTTGTTCATATGTGATAAAAATATCATTGTTTCTAGAAAGTCTTCATTTTTTCAACATTCTTTTATGATTTTATATATTGCTACCCATCGCTTTTTGAAATTTTTGTTGAAGAGAACAGTATATGGTATATCTAAAATACTTCGGTAAATTCTTTGTGGGTCTAAGGTTGGCACCACTGTAAATTTTACAGAAAACTGTCATAAATTTTCCAAAACTATGCAAAAAAATCAGACGTTAACATATTTACCTTACATTCATGACGTCAAACATACAACACTAGTAATGACACAATTTGTTATAATAACAATGTGACATTTTAATACATGTTGTCATAAAAATATTACTACATCATCGCAGTTTATTCAGAAATAAAATAGTGAGTTAGTGCGCTTTTATGGATTTACAGAGCAATACACTATTACAATATCTACAATATCATTGGTAGACATAAAACAGTTTCGGTTGAATATTCCTACAAGCTCTGTATTCATGAAACCAATTGATTTGAAGAATCTAGTTTATCGAAAAAGTCTGAAGAATAAGATTTACACTATCTTCATACTAATTATAGATGAATGTTTCATAAATTGTGAAACATCTCATCTCACTGACTCTAGAAGTTGCAGTTTTGTTATAAAAATAATTCTATTCTGATTTCTTAATCTTGGGCTTTTATAGTATATACACTAGACAGCAAATTTAATTCATTTTTAATTGATAAATTATAATATAGCACAATAATTTATGCGTAAATATATTTTGTATTGAGTACCAGTTAGTGTCTTCTTTGAGGGAAGAAAAAGTGGAAATACAGTTATATTCAACTGCAGCATCGGAATGGCTCCTCCGTCTACAACTATTCAGTTTTTAGTTGATTCCGTATCAGCAAACGATATTCGTCTGTACGATGGAAAGTGTTACTTAACCCACACAGGTAGTCCTTGCAATATACATCAATGTCAATGTTCTCCTGATGGGAAACGTTATTATTGGATCTACAACGAACCGAAAGAAAAATTTACCGCCACCTGCAAAGCCAAATTTCATAAATACTGCAGTGCATATGCGAATATTCAATTCACAGCATCCGGTAAGTATCATAATTGTTTAAGCTCATCTGACCAAAGAACTGGTGATACCATCAGTTAGAGCTATATGTTAACTGTTCACATGTCCATCCTAACGACACTTGATTCAAACCTTTACAATGTCAGTCTGTTCCAAATCCCATGGAGTTCAGTGTTTTTGTTATACTTTTTCCCTTTATTGTTTAAAAGTACTTCATGATGCTTACAAAATTTTCTACATTATTTATTTTATTTACATTGTGCACTGTCACTGATATTAAAATGTGAGATTGCCTGATTGCCTATCAACAAGTTACGTAACTTGCTTTCAGTAACTGTATGCGTTCTTAAATATATTTTTCTCGTACTTGTGTTTCTATTTCAATGTTTATTGTTTACAGTAAAGTGTTTTGGCATTTAGGAAAACATGATTAACACTGAGAGGGTCATTTCATGAGCTTGACTATATCTATTTCACCTTTTCACAATGTTATTTAATTAAGTTGAAGAAATCTTAAATATTTTTTTTTGTTAAAGCTAAAATAATTTAAGTACTGTTGAATTTTCAGTTGCCAAATCTTATTGGCTCTTTTCACACTTTCTCCTTAATTTGATTAATTCTATAATCAAACTGTGTTTGCAAATTCAGATGAAAAAGAATTTAATAATTTAATCCTATTTATGCAGCAGTGCCTTTCCTAGACGATCCAATTCTTAGATATGTGACAACTCTACCACCTACTTTCTACACATCAAATTACATATATTTCGTTTGAAATTTAGCCTAACACGTCAGATAGATTGAACAGTGATATATATCTATGTATATATATTACAGTATTTAGAGATATGTTTAATCGAACCCGGCTGTACATTTTTCATTTTAAGGACTTATCAAAATTTTATCTGTTGATTAGTTTAAAAATTAAAATAAGAAGATGTGGTTAGGTAATATAATATGAAATACAGAAAAATGTTCATCTACTATTGTTTTGTTTGCATTTGTTTTTGTTACCACCTGTCCTTGTTTTTGCATTTTTCGCCGATTTTGATTTTTTAATGTTTTTTTTTAACATATATTGTCTTGGCAAATTGTTTTTGCACAATTTTCCTGAATTTACGGTTATGATACTTTTCAGCTTCGTTATATTTACTTTGGTTGTGCCAATAGTTTGAATCGAGCGCCAATTATAAGTTGTATGCACGTATGGAGCAGGATCTAAATACCCTTCCGCAGCACCCAAAAGCATCGCTAGTTTTTTAATGTGGTTTGTGTTGCTCAAACTTTAGTTTTCTATGTTGTGTTTTGTGTATACTGTTGTTTTTCTTTTGGTTGTTCTTTTATTGCTATGGCATTGACAGTTCTTTGTCGACTTGTGAGTTTGATTATCCCTTTGGTATCTTGTGTCTCTCTTTTATGTAGACAAAATATAAGCCTGAACTCTTTTATATTTCTTTCTTGAGTGAAACATAAACATTCGACCTTCCTAATATGTTGTTCTGCTGAGTGTAGTTTCTGACGGTTGTTTAATATAACACTTGTATTTACCAAAATAAACAATAATTGAAGAACATCTTGTATTAACTTCAATAAAGATAATTTAAACACACAGGAAGGTCTTCTCTATACCTCTGTACTTAAAACCGGAGTACATTCCATAACTTAATTGATAAAACAAATAACTCAATTACAACCTAAGTTTGTTGACTAGCTCATTGCTTGTATTCTATTCTTAGCAGGTCATTTTATTACAACATACAGAAATAACTATGTAATAAACGTACAAAGTTCTATATTATATCATATATTAAAAAGTCATATTCGAAACAAAATACTCTTTTGTGGTCGATCTGAAAAAAAAATAGATTTGGAAACCTGCGTCCTTTTTCATTGCCAATCGAAACATAAGTGTACTACCTCACTTGAAGACATTACATGCAAAGAAATGCTTAATATTACTTACAATATGAACACAGAAAGTTTACTACTAAGACAACGACTATAAAACAAATTCTGATAGCACAAATTTCTAAACCAATTCCGATTACGGTTATATAGCCATGGCACATATGAAACAAGGCAGTGACAAATAGACATTTGAACATTCCTTTTGCCGATAAAAAATTGATGTACACATTTCGAAATCAAGGCTACATTTGATCATTAAACAACCTACTTGCCACTATATATTTTGGCACTACAAATGCTTAAAGGGGCACTAGCTGTCAAATTCATGTTCACCGATTTGACTCAAATACTCATATTTGATTTATAAAATGTAAAACATTTATCCAAACTATTAAAAGTCTAAAATAAACAATTTACAGAGCATGGGCTCGATAATATGTAGCTTCGTTTCGTGTGTATTTTAGTCTAGACGCCATCTAATTAACTATCGAGTTGACCTCCGAAGTCGTCCGATGACCATATAAGCGATGTAAACATAAATATAGATATAAATAGATTAAGCGAACTAGTGCAATGGGATTTTTCTATGTCTTTTTAAATTAAAGATTAAAAATATATGTTTATCATCGTTTTAACCTGTATAAGAATGATTTTTGTGGATCGAACCAGTCCATCAAATGATTTACGTTTGTTTCACTTTCAATGTTGACATTCTTTTCCTTTAAATAACTTTACACGAATAATTCATGCGATATCCATCTCTAGCTAAGGGGTTAAATGAAGTTCACATGAATACGGATTCAATGAGATCGAATTATTCACTTGCAATAATAATTCGTCATCAATGTTTCTTAGCTTATTTTGACAAAATTAAACTGGCTGCTAAAAGCGAATAATTATTTCACTATTTCACTTTCATTAATGATTGAAAAAAAATCCTATTTTAAATTTTTTATATATCTCGTAGCTAGTGCTCTTTTAAGCATCGTAAATACTTCACCGAGAAGATACTAAATTCCCGTTATACTACGTGTCGTGGGAAGTATCTAATAATTCAATCTAAAATAACGAAAGTCCAATGAAGAAGTATAATTGAATAACTCAGTAATGTGTAAGTGCAAAATTCGATCAGGGGGAAAATGGAAAATTCTTTCAATAATTTTAATGACAACATTTTTTTTTTGAAACACACATTCACTTTTATTTTGTTCCCTGTAGTACCGATACAAACCGTATTACGCTAACTAAACAATACTTTAGTGTTACATGATTATGATAAAAAATGAACGGTGCTACTGAAAATCAGAATTTATCTTTTTATGTTTAGATTTGACACCTCATGGACACAGAACAACGACCTGCACTACAAGCAATGCAAAGCACTACGTCAGAGGTAAGAAGAATCTTATTCTTTTTTTGCGATATAAGTTTTAGTCTTGATAATTGACTTCACGTAAAAGATTTTGAAAATTGTCATTTGAAAAATATCACTAAAAAAACAACACTACGTGACAGGAATACAGTACAAACAAACGCAAGAACACTCAGCACAGAGAAATACATAATTAAATAATATAATAATACATTACAACATGTAAACCACAGTATAACAACGGACACCTCCCATGAATTTACGACAGCACACCAGCTTAACCCTCTTGCAGCCGAAGGGACACATGTTTCCACACCGGCTGTGACGGAGGGACACATATGTCCAAGTTTTAATTAATGCCAGCTTCTCATCATTACTGTATTTCTTTCAAATAAAATACCGAAGATTAAACAATGTAATATTTTCTTCAATTGGTCCCAATTGTAACGTTGTTAGGGCGTGATCTCATATATAGAATGACGTCATTGTTGGGTATGTGACGTTACAGACGTCAAGCTGCCGTATTTTCTGGCAAACGAAATGCAACTATATAAAACTGTTTGCAGCAAGAGGGTTAAACGATTTCTAATAGCATAATTAGACATGTCAGGATAAAGTTAAATGATCATAAAACGTGTAAGTGTTTATATGATACTGTCGGAAAAAGAAATAACACTGTCCAATGAAAGAGGTAGAATGTGTATCACTTCTATCAAGTATTTAAATTAAAAATGAATAGTTTAAAACTATCACACTTTTAATTTGTATACTTACTTACTGATTACTGAAAAAGATTAGTCATTTGTCTTTTATTAGAAAAGAAAATAGGCTTTCAACAAATTCCTATCATTGTTTGATTATCATTTTTGACAATTTCACCTTCGTGCAATTCCCGTACAATGCTTATGTCACAGTAAGAGTTGGTCGTTTAATGACGTCATATATATCGACTGACCTCGGGTAACTCCTTCGTAAAAAAAACCACATGACGTGGGAGTATGATTAAAACAGCATAAAAAAATCATGACGTTGCAGATCAGCTGACATACACTATATTTGTATTTCACAACGGGTGTGTACTCCAAGCGTTTACAGAACGCCGTATTAGAGATTTCCAATAAAATGACAAACGTACGTAACTTGAATTACGAATCTAAAGGGACTGGTTATTGCCAATCACTGAATTTGATTAAATACGTCGCTCAAGTTTAAGCAAATTATTCCAAGACTTTTAAAATTTTACACTGTTATTATTTTTGTCTATAACAGATAATTTTAACATGATGGAAAATGAAATGTCATTCTTTTTTATTTATTAAGTGGTTCGCAAGATTCCGCCTTAATTTTCAATGAGATAAGATCACGTATAAACAAACATATCCCTTACTTATCATACGACCGATTTGAGTTATCTTTCATGCATGGTTTTGATTATGACAATTAGTTTGCAATAAACTATACAGATCAACGCTCGATTATTCTATCTTTTACATGATTTTTCTTTCGTTATCATGAATGATTGGTTTTATTCTCATGACTTAGTTATAGAGACAATAAGATTATACAACAATATAATGTACAGTGCATGTGTGAAAGAATGATATGCATTTTCCAGGAGGAGAGACTTTCACATTAACAGCTTCAATTTATCGACATATTCTTTTCTAAAACTGATGTTTCTTTTTTTTATAAATATATATATGTATAAAGTAAAATAACAAAAATACCGAAATCCAAGGAAAATTCAAAACGTAAAGTCCCTTATCAAATGGCAACGAAAATGATCAAAACCTCAAACACATCAAACGAATGAAAAACAACTGTCATATTCTATTATATAAAATATATTTTATTTTTGTGGGGAAATCATTTTGAGAATTTCTAGGATAATTTTCTGACAATTTCAGAAAGGTCAAAATCAATGTATGTCAGAATTTGTCTCTTTATTATAGTTGAAAATGGATATAAAACTATCGCTTCCATTTATTTTCTAAATAAAAGTATTTTCCATTTATCATAAAATGTATGGATAAAAAAATTCCCTATATAGGTTGTATTTTAGAAGGTGGGCTCATTAAAGATTGTTCTGTGTAGTTGTGCTATGAGTATAAATACAAAAGACATTTCCAGGAAAAATATTTAAATACCTTAACTTATAGTATCTTATCCATTTTATTAATAAGCAAATTATAGGGGTTACCGAGTTTGATTTACTGCTTAAATCATTGAAATAAATGTGACTGGTAAGAAATATATAAAAAGCATCAGATAATAAGATTACGATGTCCAATGCGGATCCGGATCCAGGATTTCGAAAAAGAGAGAGGAAAAGGGGGGGGGGACTACGCAACGTTAGGAGTGGAACATGTAAAAATGTCATGCATTAACCATATATGAAGCTCCATAAAGAGGAACCGTGCCCCCCTCCCCCCCCCCCCCCCCCCCCCCCCCATAAATCCGCCTTTGGATCGATGCGCTATGCAGTCAAAATGGGACTCTTTTGTTTTCCTTTTCGATGTTTTATTCCTAGTGCAGTGCATAAGACCACAATTTTGCGCAACTCTAAAAAATAAGTATCAACAGGATGTAGGATCACATATATAAGTGTTTATTCATCATGTTGTTTTACTATAGAAAAAAGAAGATGTGGTATAATTGCCTACGAGAAAACTCTCCACAAGAGACCAAATGACACAGAAATTAACAACTATAGGTCATTGGATGGCCTTCAACAATGAGCAAAACTCATACCGCATAGTCAGCTATAAAAGGCCCCGAAATGACAAATGTAAAACAATTAAAACGATAAAAACTAACAGCCTAATTTATGTACAAAATAATGAATGAAAAACAAAAATAATACACAGAAACAAACGATAACCACTGAATACTATACATATCCAAGACGAGAAGATAGATATGAATCCGACTTTGGACTAGACCGACACGCTGATTCAAATTTGTTAACGTGCAACTTCACAAGGTCCGCAGGAAGACATGTCATCCTACCCGGACACATTATTTTGACCAAATGTTTGGCCATTGAAAAAGAGAGATACAGATAAAATATAATTATGATATACCGTGTATTTCATAGTAAACGGTTCGAATGTTGACTTCTTAAACCTTTACACTCTCATTCCTCATTGTTACCTTAAACATGTTATAAGTCAAAGTTTCTTTCATAAAATGAACAAGGAAGATACAACGATCTTTTTTTAAGAAACAGACAAAGTATATCTTGTAAAAACTGATTAAAAAAAAGACATCGTAACTGTAAAACTGACATGATGCTCGTTTTTTCTTCTTTTCAACGAACTTGTAACTTAAGGTGGATGTAGTTTTAAAAAGACACTTGACATTCCTATGGGTCAGACTAGGGTCCTCTTCCTAATGACATGTACCTTTATTTAAAAAAGCAAGACCACATTGTTTACAAAGTTATTATAATCCATGCATTTTGTCAAAAGCCCCTAAACGTATGAAGTTACACGTCATAGTGGATATCAAACTTAAATATCACAAAATCTGTACAAAAGCATTCTAGAGAGGTCATACATTTAATTCTGTCAGTTAGTTTTGTTTTGATTAGGACCTGTCTGTAATTGAATACTGAGAACTAAACATGTAACCAGCAGATTCACGGAAATGTATGGTTTAAATGCGCACTGGAAATATTATTATTTCGTTTAGCATTGAGGGATGTACCCGTATGTACTCTATTTACAAGACCATGTTCAACAGTATAATCAATACTTAGAATAGTTGTCCGTTTGGTTGTCCGGGATAAATAAATACGCAGCTACGTCCAGGTGAAATGGGGACGTTCATTCAAATGTAGAGAAAGTGCAATCAGTAGCTCTACACCAAACAGAACCCATAAAACATGGCTCCTGTCTAAAAGCTCTCCTTTTACAGTTGTGAACTTCCAATTTCTATGTAGGAACAATCCAGCAGCACCTGCATATGGAGTATATATCTCCCAGTTGATACGATATTCCCGGGCTTGTATTTTTTATCATGATTTCCTTGATAGACGGTTACTGCTCACAAGGAATATATTAAACCATGAGTTCCAAATGGTGAAGCTGAAATCGCCCTTCGTATATTTTACGAGTTGGTTGACCGTTATGGAAAATCCGTTTCACAGATGACAACGACAACGAATTATTCCAAATGTCGTAACTACAATCCCGTCCCCTTATTCCCGAATGTGACCTACCGATTCAGACTTATCACCGGGTTTGTACTAACATAAGCAACACGACAGGTGCCACATGTGAAGCAGGATCTGCTTACCCTTTCGGAGCACCTGAGATCACCACCAGTTTCTGGTGGGGTTCGTGTTGCTCAGTCTTTAGTTTTCTATGTTGTGTTTTGTGTAATGTTGTTTGTTTGTCTTTTCCTTTTTAGCCATGGCGTTGCCAGATTATTTTCGACTTGTAAGTTTGAATGTCCCTTTGATATCCTTCGCCTCTCTTTTGCAGTTGTAATTCATGCTGTTATTTTCGACCCACTCTTCGTATCTATTAAATTATTTTGTTTTATTTGTCTTAAATATGCATACAATTTTGTCACTTGATGTTAGGTAACAACAATAAATAAATCAATCAAAGCTGTTTAGAACTCGTAATTTGTAATTTTTGATATCTGATTTGCCATCAATTGTCCACTCCCTATTGTCATTGCGTTCTTTTAACAAAATTGAGGCTTTGACTGCCCAGATTCAAAATTGTTTGCTTCACTAGAATGAGTCTTGTTACGCTAGTATCGAGGCGAGCACGGTACATCAAGACCAAAGAGGCGGTAATGAATATGAAATATACATATACATGTACATTCAAAACATTTGAAACAAGAATATGTGGCCTCAAGAAACCATGCCCCTTTATATTATCACGTTTCAATGTTCAGTGAACCACCATATCCGGGTCAAACTCTGATTTGGATTACAATTTGAAACGTTTTATATTTTGAACGGGACGGACGAACGGAAGGACACACAGACCAGAAAATAATAT